CTGTGTTTCAAGTCAAGTGAAAATAGTTGCTCTAATAAATTGCCTCCTTGACGTCTTCAAGACCCAATGGGCCAATTTAGTGATGATCCGGGATTTATGTGGTTGGAGCTGGGCTGTTTCCTTCCAATCTGAACAGGGTAGGACGCACTCTGGTGAGCAACAGACCAGCCGGTAGATCTGAGATGGCAGCACCCTCCAGAAGGCAGAGAGGGCCAAACTGGGAGCAGTAACATGTCCTTTTAGCATATGTGTGCCACCTGCCTTGGCTCTGAAAGGACTAAAAATGCTCCCACAAACAACCTGCCTCAGTGGAAGAGGATCATAAATCTTAAGCTGCTCCAGCTGCTGTGCAAGCGAACATTTGACTATGCCCTAACCTTTCATAGCAGGTATAAATGACTGTCTTGTGAGAAATGAAGAAGGCTTGATTGAGTATGATTCGATCACTGCAGGAGTCTTCTTGATGAATACCCATAAGTGCTTTATCTACCTTTTCCTCTGAGGAGACAAATCTTTGCCCTAAAGATGTTCCCTGATCCAGCTCCTCTTATGCTACAACCTGCCCCTTTAATGCACCAGTTTCTTTTGCAAGAGGATGTAGGCTGCCATGTTTGAGATGGATACAGCCTACCCCAGTGTTAATGGTTGTATGGTACAGGGCTCGGAGTTGTTTCCCATCAGCTTAACAACACAGCAATGGAGTCTATATGCTGAAAAATCAGAGTACTCTGTTGCTAAAACAAATAGCAAAATTAAGACCCTAAGTCTGTGGTTTCTGGGTAATTTTTGCATTTGTGAAGGATTTCCTAAGGGAGTTGTGGGCCCCTATAGAAAGTTCACATACTTCAGTAGCTGAATTGCACCTTAAAGTTTCCTTTCTTTGTCCAGGTCCTATAGAAGTAGAGCAGAAACCCAAAGGGGTTTGACAGACTGAGATGGATGGAGCAAGCACCCTTGAGATGAGTGTACTGCCCCAGGTCACTGCTAACCAACACAGAGATGCTTCCCCCATGATCACAGTGCTGACCACGAAGAACTGTGATTCAGGAATGAACTGCTAAAGGCTCCCCTTGTTTGTTAAGAGCAATTGAGTGGGTGTGCACAGCAGTTTTCCAGATCCCTCATCAGTACCTCTATTTTTCATCCATATTCTGCACTTTCACTGCCAACTACATCACCAGGAACTGGGTATCTGCCTCTTACACTTAAATTTCATCTTTCCTGTCTTCACAACATCCATTCCTTTCTCTCCTGGCTGATGCTGCTGAGCTGAGAGCCTAAATTCCTTTTTGTTATCTACACCTTGATTTCTCTCCCAAGTCTGCACGGATATGTCTCTTAAGGAAATAGATTGTTAGCTCAGCTTCATTCCTGTTGTGTTGTCCGGTCCTCTTCATTGTTAAACTCCTGTCATCCATCAAACCCTATTCACAGTTGAAATCAACAGCAAATAAAAGGAAACAAATAAGTCAGCACAGTGCTACACAGAAGTGGAGCTAGCATGCACAGATATGGATGAAAAGCCACTAAGCCCCAATAGTGCTGATGGAGCTGCCCTGCAGCTGTTCTGGTTGAGTTACTTCATCACTGCTGTACAGACGATGATAGATGTAAAACTTCAGCTGTGTTAATGGCAGCATGAACTGGTACTATTTGCAGCCTTTACAACATGTGCATGGATGTGAACATGCTTGAGATTTTTTTTTATTAACCCAAGGGTGATTATAAAAGTTGCCATGTCCTTCATGCAGACCAAGTCAGAGGTCCATGCTGTGGCAGATATGGCCTGTCACCAAATACAGAGTGTGGAGAAGTCTACTCAGGTTTATGGTATTTATAAGTTTGTGAGATTTGGGGAAAATCTATCCTTTTCTTATGTGTGTTAATTTCTAGGCCGTGGACTTTCATGACTTTTTTTCTAGTTAAGTACATGTATTAGCGCTGTAACGCTCTCTTCTTAATCTTCCTTGTGTTGCCACATCAATGAGGAATATCACCGATAGATGGACTGCTTAAGTCAATACCAGTGCCTACCAAGGCCTATGCAGAATGCTAGTTGTGGCACAGGTGTGAAATTAGGCAAGCCATCTCCGTTTAGCATCCTAGTCACCAGACTGCCCTTTCTTGGTGGGCACGGGCTGCATATACATCAGTACTTTGGCAGAGAACAGTAGTATGTTTTTTAGTGAACTCATCCCTCTTTCCTCAACTAGACTTGCAACTGGTGCAGATGTGGAGTGATTCACACTATGTGATTGAGGCTGTCGAGATGCAGGCAAGAGTCCTTTTGGAGGAAACCAATCCAGAAACTCTTCTCCAGGGTGACATGAAATACTTTTCAAACCCTAGTGGAAACACAAATATTCAAATCAAGTATTACTCCTTCTGACAGTGTGGCAACATTCAGTCCAGGGAATCCGACTAAATCTAGTCTGACATTAGATCCTGGAAATACTTACAATGTAGATCTAGAGATGTCAGCACCAACTGCTCCCATCCTCGGATCCACTCCTACCGCACAGCTACTTGCTAATGCAAACAGGGGCATCCACACAAAGACAACATGCTGAAGGCTTCACAGTTCCAAATATACTGCAGAAAAAGATGCACAGGGGCCTGAGTATGAAGGGATGCTTTAGTGAAATGGTAAAAAAAGGCACACAGCTCTATTCTACATCTGTATTTGAATAGCAGGAGAGCGTATAGGTATCAGTACACAATCAGAGGCCCACTATGCTAAAATGCTCTACAGACATATAACAAGGAAGGTCCTTCTGGCCTGAGATTAGCATTAATAAAGCTATCAAAGTGAGCTGGAAAGAAAGAAAAAAACAGCAGAAGAAAGAAATCAGGACAGAATAAGGATGCCTTTTCTGCAGCACCACTTCCAAAGCAGCAATGCTCTAGGGGAACCCCAGCAAAAATGAATGCAAAGGAGGGATCAATCCTGCGGTGAAGTCACAAGATTAGACTTCTGGAGTTATCCAGAATGCTGAGAGCACAAGAAGAAAAGGTGCCAATTTCATTATTACACACTTCCACTGGTTTTAATGCAGTCTCTAAACATTGCTGGGGGCTACCTATTGGCTCTGTGGACTACATAGCTCAGCATGTGGGAAGAGGAGGGGTCAGCTCCAAAGAACTTGTGCTGGAAAAAGTTAAAAGCACCTACAGGATTTTGGCACATAAGTTGCACTGACACTTTTTAATATTCTTTCCCCAGAGCAAAAGATGTCTATCTGAGGCTGCCAAAAAGCAGGAAAACCTACCACCCAATATTGTTAGAAAGAAAGGTATAGGTGTGTAGTCACTGCCTCCATGTATCCACAGGTAGACTACAGCTCAAGCTAGCAGTGTTAGCATGTGCCACTGTCTGCTGGAGCAACAAATAAGCAAAGGGCATCTCTGATGCACAGATCCTTTTGCATAAGTTATCATAACACACCTGTGGAGTATACACAAACAGTAGTGGTTTGAAGAGACACACTCAAGATTATAGAGTGAAGTAGCAGCAAAGGGCATGAATGACTGTCCTTGTGTTGACTAAGGACTGCAGAGCCATTTCAAACTGTATTATGACATGAGCCGTATTTCAAATTTAGTAGGTGCGCACAGTGCTGTGGTAACACAAGGAACATTATTCAATGTATTCTCGGTGTGAATGTGTACATTCAACAGTGCTACTGGAGATGATCTATAAATCCTTATACATCCTTATCCTCTATAGAGGAGACTGTGTAACTCCTATGATTTAATTTCACAGTTTAGAAAATATTCACCGATTTAATCTGACTCTAATCCGCCGTTATTTATTGTAATTATTGCCATTGCTGTGGAAACTCCAAAAGCAATCAAGCAGCTGTCTGTGGCTAGCTATGCTTAAGCAAGATTGTCCCTGGAGGTGAACTCAGCGAATATGTTCTTACCTTCTTCAAGGTTTAAGCTTGATGTAGAAGTAAAAATGCAGAGGTCTTCTTCCAGACAGGACTGACAGGCTGCCCACACAATACCCTGAGAGCTGTGCCTGTAACCTGACCTCACCCGATAAGCAGTGGTGAATACTGCCTAGCTGACGAACAGTATTCACTAATGAGATGCTTTTAGTTAGGGTCCTAGATGCTCTTAGTTACCCTTCCCCTGGGATGCACAGAAGTGCTGAAAAGTCCTCTGGCTTCTCCCTAGGATGGGATGAGCTCATCCCAGGGATGGTGTGAGCCCAGGCACACCTTCAGCACAGCAACACAGGTGAGCAGAGAGCAATCAGTGTCTGGGGGCTCCCTGGGGGTGGCAAGGCTGGACCTGGCAGCCAGGGCCATCCCACCACCCCATCAGCGACCAGGGCAGCCCCAGCCCCAGCACTGGGCACCACCCTGGGGACAGGGATGGCCGCTGAGGGGGCTGAAATTGAATATGTCCTTCCTGAGCCATGGCATGCTGTGTCAACCCGCTAAGCACCCGCTGCATTTTCTCCCAGCTGTGGCTGCCTCTCCACAGCACGCAGAGCTGACTCCAGCTGGCAAAGATATTTTTCAGTCATTGTTTTTGTACCCTTTCTGCTTTCTTTAACAACGCTGATGAGATACCAGGCTGGCGACAGAGCGTGGCTGGTAGAAATGGATCCAAGCAAAGCAAAGAAACCTCTCAGCCATGCATGTTCTCCCATGGGCAATAAAATGTCTTTGGTTTTGTAGGCGCAGGAGGATCAGATATGCTGCCGAGGGACCTGCCGGGACCGTGCTCCTGTGAAAGTCCTGAAGCCGAGGAGCGTGCAGGGGTAAGTCTCCTCCCACCGCATCCTTGTGGGAAGCACAGGGATCCGCGCTGCACTCAGACATAATGCTTGATGGCATCCCGTGCTCGCTGGGATGGGCCACATCTTCAGCTGCAAGGAGGTTGTCGTGATGGGAGTAGTTTGCACAGCAGACCCCGTTGGTGTAAACTGCATTCGCTTGACTACCGCAGGGTCTCCGCCTAAATATTTGGAAGCTCAGTGCAATGGTCGGGATGAGGAGGACCTTCAATAAAAGTGCATCTCTTGGGAGGTCTTGTTAAATAATCCTGGCAGCTTGCTTGTGAGATGGTGTCAAACCAATGCTCAATCCTTTCTCACCATTAGTCAATCCCCCCCACGTCTTCCCTTGCACCTTCTCTTCTTCTCAGGCCCCTCTGCGGTTACAGCTACCCCACCTCCTTTCATCTGCTGGAAACGCGCGCGCGAGCAGCTCGTCAGCATGAGGAGGGCAAGCGTCTGAGAAGTGTTGCCCTCACCTGGTAGCCTGGTGTGGTTGGGTGGCATGTGGAAACACGCCATTTTGCTGGAAAAGGCGTGATGGGGATATTCCTTTTTCTTTGCCATTCTCGGTGTGATCGCGTGCAGCCATGTGTTTTTAACAGCAGCAAATGAATTTGTCGGTAAGGTGTTGGGAGTGGAAAGGGAGTGAACAGGCAAGTGAATTCCTGCAGGGCCAAGACGTTCATCTTCAGGGCTGCTGACACTGCTAAGTGTGAAGCACGTATATCTAGAGACAAAAACAACCACATTAAAAACTAAAGGCCTCTCCAACAATTTTTTATCATAATTTGGATTTTTAAATAAAGATGCAAACTTGGATATACATAGCCCATATTAATGCCTAAATTTACTTTAATCTTTTACATTTGTTTAAATTAAATTAAAATAGTAATCAAGGCTGTTAAACTAGTTCAGATGAAACTGATTAAGCAGATTTCAGACTTCTGCTGTAAAAGCAGAAGAATTTTTTCTTAAATTACAGTTAGTTAAATTTAGCCCAATAACTAACTCTTTTGTTTAGAGAAGCATTTAAAGATAAAAATGCAGCAAGTTCATACCTTCTTCTGGTCTATGAGTAAAAACTGGTGTCAGAAGCTCGGATCAGCTAGCTTTAAGATCTTAAAGGCCATGATGAGTAATCAGCATCTGCAAGAACTTTTTTAATAAGGAAAATGTAAATGCAAAACACGTTTTGCAAACTGTTTCTTAGATTTTTCTTATCATATTTACTAGTTTCATTTACCATTTAAAAAAATATTAATAATTTTCTCAAAATCCAGGTTTTCCCACAGTTTTTATTTAAGAGCTAATAAAATCCAAAAGGGGCTGGACCAATCTGATATTTAAAAAAAAAACCAAACAAACCAGAGCTGCTAATAAACAACAAATATGAATCTGACTAAATGTGGTTAACAATTTAGAATGGACAATATAGCACAGAATTTCATACTCTTGGCTATGAAAAACAATGACCGAAGTTAAGGTTAAGGTTAATTCCATATAAAGCAGCAAATCAACGTGTCCTCAGGGGTATCAGTCAGTGAGAATCCACCTTTCTTTAGGCAAATAATTTACAACACACACAATAAAAGTACGGTTCAAACTGATAATGCCAAGCCATCAAAATGAAACTTTCATGTTGTGTTTAAATCAGATATTTAAATCATTCTGATTGCAGCTGGAGCATGGACTTGCACAGGCATTCCCAGACATTTTGCACTGGTTGCTGTCAGTGCTCTGCTCAGTGTAGTATCGCTTTTGTGGCAGTTCATCTATTGCAAGCAGGACCTGCAGGACTGCTGGGAAAGCTCTGAGCTAGAGTTTAATCAGTCCCTAACTTTCTCTGGCTTAAGTTAAGGTCATATTTAAGGAAGAGGGGGGAAAAAAGATTCAATGACTGTGGAATGCAATTTGTTTTAATAACACAGTACTTCCAATGCTTGGGAGTGTAACACCACGCAGAACAAAATCTGACTTAGCATTGTTTTCTCCTTGGTTTTAAAAAAGAGGTCTCATTTTTTTAATAACGACTCCCCGCTGAAGGAGGAGGTTTAGTGGCAGAACTTTGTAAGAGGGAGGCTGACTCAGTGCTGCCACTGACGCAGCGTGAGCAGAATCAGCAAAATGCTAGCACAGGAAAGTCAATAAAGTCCCTGAGAGTATCCTTACCAGCATGGAAGAAAATTAATTTAGTCATAGCAAATGATGAAGCACTGAAATTTTCTTTAATAACTTGCTAACGATTTGTGGAAGGGAGAAGCCTGGTGTTTGAGGCAAAGACTATATGGAGCAGCTGGATATAAACTCTTCTGAGCTTGCATTTGCTGAGAGATACAAACCAAAAACAATTGCCCTTTCTGTTGCTAAACAGTCAAATGGGCAATGTTATTTTCATATACGAAAGCCATCAACTTTAGATCAACTCTGAAAGGAATCTATGCAGACCTAGTTGCAATATTTTTTTGATGATACCAAGAGAAAGTAGATTCTCAGTTAATAGAAATCAGGAAATAGAAATCCGCATCTCTCTTGTTATTTTCAACAGCCTACTTACTCCAAGTGGAAACCTGGGCCGTCATAAAGCTCCCTTCAACTTTAACAAACTATTAACAAGAAGCAGCAAGCTACCCTTAGGTCCAGACTGCGCTCTTGACTGTATGGTTCAAGTCAATGGTAATTGCATAGGTTTCAATAAAGCATAGAAAACTCTTATATCTAATAGGTAATGACATTCATGACCAGTGAAGACAGGATATGGATCAGTAAACAAATGTTACACTTGATCCTAGTCATGAAGCAAAGTAGTACTCTCCTTACAAGAAAGGAAAAATATGGTCCTCCCAAGAAGCCAATCCATGTAATGTGCCCAGAACTAGCCAAGCTGGACCTGTGGTCGAACAAGTCAAAGTTTATGAATGATGTTGGAGTTTTTTATGTTTCTTTCTTCTTTTCTAAATAGCAAAATGCTGCCTCTTCATTGTTGCATTTAAAACACATCCTGTTATGCCTGCGGCTCTTTTTGGAGTGCAGGTTCAGAATACCATGTACTCTATTACTGAGCCTTTCTTGCCGCTTTTGCTCAAAAAGGAGGATGTGTATGTGTATGGGAGTAGCATAAACTGCAGCTGTTTTTCTTTATTTTTCCACCATCGTTACTGCTGACTGGTAACAAGGAAGAAGATGTACATATGCACCATTTGGCTTCTCTGCAACACTGCTGTACAGGAGGTTGGGAGATTATCTTGGTGAACAGCTCCTAATTTCAACATAAAAGGATCAGCAGTAAGCTGAAAGAATTTGTCGTGCAGTGAAAAGGATGCTGCTATTTGGCTGGAATATTTTATCAGAGATACAGAACTTCAATTTGCTCTTTCATTGGTTTTATGAAAGCTTGTATCACCAAAGAACCTAAGTGAGTCCAGGAGACTCTGGAAAGATTAATTCCATTGGACAGCTGCTTAAAAACAAAAAAAATCCAAACAGATCCAGGATGCAACCCCTTCCCCTCATCCTCCCCTTCACCCACTGCCATAAATGCACTGTGGCTGAAAACTTTACAGATAACTGAAAATGACAGAGGCTTTGGTATTTTCAGCACTCTGGAGCAGTTTAAAAGGGAGATGCTCTTTCTGCACAGTGTATGTATCTGAAGCGTGTGAGGCCAGACAGCAAAAATCCCTGGTCATCTTTCAAAGTCTAAGCCTGCATGGCCTCATATCACCTCCTCCCTGACCCTTCAGGCAGTTTCGGATATATCTTGCTGCCATGCCAGCCATGGAGGGGTGCTGCTGAAATTCAGACATTTATGGAGTAAAAATCCAAGGCAAGGTACAAACCAGCTTCAAGGACTAAAATAGTTTATTTTCTGCAGCTGACGCTTTCCCCAGTTGGCTCCTGCACATCACTGGTTTTACCAGGTCATACTCTCCATCCCAGGTCCTGGCCACAGCTCACCTTGTGCTGGGCTGGGTAACGGAGAGGAGGATCCATCTGAGTTATTGAACTGTATGTCACAGCACACAGCTAAGAGTTCATTTCCAACTATGGTCTCTGCTAATTGCTCTCAGGTGCGTCTTCGTATCATCACCAAGGCAGGCAACGTCGGTCAGGGAAGCCAGAGGATCGTTGGTCATTCAAAGCGATCAGAGCCATTATGTTTGACCTTTGGCATTGTAATTTTATTTCTGTGGCTCTGCATAGGAACTGACAAAGCAAAGTAACAAGACTGTCAAGCTGTGGCGCCTGTGTAAAACATGACCACCTGCCTTCATCTCCAAAGACAAATAAGATTGCCTGCTCCTACAGTATGTGTTAGACATTAAAATGCACAGCAGTTTTGTAGTGCAGCACTGGATTTCCATACAGAATACTGTGTATTTTTAATTAGCAGGCCTATAATAAGCTTGTCTTATCATCTCATTACACTTTTATTTTGCACGATTTCACTTCTGATGATCAGAAAATGCAGTGAAACTAAGACCTCGGCTCACTGCAGGGACAGCCAGTCCTTCAGGTTGGCCACGGGTTTAGTCATTGGGCCTGTTCTCTTTCTAATTCAGGAAAGGGACATACCTTTAGGAAACTGTGATATTATTCTCTGATAGGAAAAAAAATAATTCTCTGTCATGAGACAAAGAGTTTCTTCTTTGAATATTATCCACTTGTCTCTGACTTTCTGAGAATCTTCAGGTAGGCTTGATTTTCTCACTTAACCATTTCCAGTATCGCCATCCACCTTGCAGCAAATGACACATTCCAGTTGGAGGCATTTAACACCATTGCAATAGCACTGGAAGGAAAAAGCATCCAGCCTTGAATATAGGGAGGGTTTGGTAAAATGTCTGGAGAAGGCAGATCAACTGCTGAAGATTTGTACTTCAATGTGCAAAACTCAGAAGATTGAAAGGTTATGAAGAATTCATTAAGGCTGTAGCAACATAAAGGTGGAAACATTAGGAGTATGGCAAGAGGGTCTTGCTGTT